TAAGTCACGTATAATTATTGGAAAAAATTTATTTGATTCACAACAATTCAATCAAAACTCAGACAAGATAGAGAACTATACTGTAGTACATGTCTTATATTAGTATGATTTCATGTTACTTGTAAACTGGGGAGCTGTCTATGGAAAATTCAGCTATTCGGCTTGGACTAAACCCCTGAATGTTTCAAGACCCTAAAAACATTCAAGTGGTGCCTCTACTTTATGATTTAATTTGTTTGGGGAGGGAACTCTTAGCTACAATTATTTATAATGTGAAATAATTTCCTCATTGAAAGGAACTGAATAACTCAGTCTCCCATTGCTGCTGTTCACACATTTGTGGTGCTGAAAATGCAAAGACTGCTGCTGCTGCTGCTGCATTTTATGTGTCAGCTGTTTTATCCAAGTCATTTTTGGTAGCGATTACCATTAGTAAAACCATAATAATTTGAAACTGCCATAGTCTTGCAAGTGCTTTAACACAGCTGAAATGAACTGGTTAAATACACAGCTGTAACTCTCTTGTTGTTTTTAGGCAACTCTAATATGATTTCAGTTCACACATTGAACATTTAAGCTTAATTGCTGACGATGACATGCAGGGTTTTAGTCTGCTCTTGTCATATTATGGCTGTATTTGTTGAATCATGTGTTGTAATTTTTCCKAGTTAAACTGTAGTGAACCATGTAAATACACACTCTTTGAAATTTGTGAAATTAAGTTATGTTATATAGTAAATCTTAAAAATGTAAAATGTGTGTTACTGCTAGAAAAAATGCAGAACTGATGTGGAACAGAAAAGGAGCAGAATAAATACAGAGAAAACAAGAAAGTTAAGTAAATCACAGTAAAAGCATTAAAATATATTTTAACCCTAAAATATCCTGAATCATTTTACAAAAGTAATTTATTCAATAAATAAATGGACAGAGAGCATAACCCCCCCAATGTTAGACCTAAAGTTACGCCCTTGAGGATGTACATGTATATGTCACACCACACATAAAAAACACAGATTTGAACCTGCCATCCAAATCCTAACCATGTTTGATCTATTCAGATCAAGCTTATAATGTCTGTTTCTTTTGAGTAAAACATGCAGTTTATTTTATCACAGGTTTATTAAATTTATTCTCAAAGCAACTTGCTTCTTTCCAGCATAAAAGTGGTTTTAGGAATACTTTACAATTCAGAGGTATCATAGTTGTACAATTTGTGATGAAAATTAACACAACCTATCCAATGCAATGTGGATCTTTTTCAATTATAAAAACAACTGAACACATCAAAGCATAAGTGGTAAACTTCAAATTGACATGTGTCCTAAACACCAAGATATGCTACTTACTTCAGAATGTAACATTAATACTGTATGTACAGTCACTTTAAAGATCTACAGTATGTTAAAGATTCTGAAATGATTCATCAAATTAAAAAAATGTTGTGTTCTTTTCCTATGTACCCCGTTACAAATACAATATCCTGTAAAATGTTCTCAACCATCCAAATGTTCTCAGGAGTGCTTAAAATCTGTTTATATCTATATAAAATATATATATCATTCATAATGAAAAGAAGATTCATATTTTTAACAAGTCTCAGCTGTATGTCAATAAAATGATGTAAAATAGATGGATGAAGTGGATCTAAGGGTGGGGACTGGTGTAGAATTGTGAAGGAGCCCGGAAAGATATGTTGGAACTAGGTTGTGGACAGTTTTGAAGGTAAGGAGCAGCATTTTATAGCTGATGTGATGTATGATGGGGAGCCAATGGAGCTTTGATAGACGTGAAGTGATTTATTGAAGGAGTCTGTGTGATAATCCAGGTGACTGTGTTTTTAACTAGCTGTAGTTTGTGAATGGTCTTAGGTGGAAGGCCAAAAAGAAGTGAATTACAATAATCTAAAGGTGACCAGACTGAATTAAATCAGCGGTTGAATAAGAATTTACAGAGGGATGAAGACGATTAACATTACGGAGATGGAACTAGGCAGACCGAATGATGTTATTAATATGGGAGGCATAGGAGAGGGAGACAAACACTTAACCTGAGGGGAGGGAAAGATGAATGAAAGATTTGGAGTTGAATCATTTTGTGGGTGCACTTCAACCATTCATTTGATCAGTTTCTCCATTTGCATTTTCACCAACCATCTGATTGTACTTGCTCTTAAAAAATCCAGCCTGTGAGAAAAACAGAAAAGAGAGTTTAAAACAAAGAGCAGTATGAGTGAAACACTGCAAATAAATTCAAAAAAGATGAATGAAAGACTTTTACAATGATTTTGGAACTACTTTTTTCTTGTCCCTTTTTAACTAGAGGCCTTTGTGATTTCCTGAAATAATACACTGACTTACCTTATACAGCCCAGCAGTGAGTAGAAGCAGCAAAATTAACCCTCCCAGAGATCCTCCAATGATCTCTTTGATGAAATTTGGTTCGGCAATCACTTCAAACTCAGCCTCAATCTGAAAGACACAGTAATATGATCTGGATAAAATTCAAGTTCTTACATTACATATAAAATGCTTATAAAGTGCAGCCACCTTGCTAACAGGAGGGATGTTATCAGAGGTTGTTGAGAAGTAGATGTACTGTTTTCTGTCGTACTCTAAACTGGCCATACTGGTCAGGATAAACTTGGCAGACGGAAGCCCAATCTGAAATAAGAGGGATGAACTTGTTTCGATTTGTTTTAAAATTCTTGGTGCTGTCGTTACAGCTGATTGGTCTTTTCTAGTCAGGGTTGGTATCATCAGCTACCTGCTCTATCCATGCTGAGCTGAGGTTTGCAGTCATTGTGTGTGTTTTCTCCTCCAACCTTTGCATAGACATGTTGCATCTGAACACTCTGCAACTCGCTACGGAGCAGTTCTGTGGATAATAAATGCAAAACAAACTGCATTATTGTGCAGTGAACATTTCTCGTCATGCATGTTAATCTGTTGCTAAAACTTACCACAATTTTGTTTTCTTTTATTTGTGTAACAAAATCTGTCACAGCTGATTCTTCATCTTTTTCTCTTTCACAACCTGCAATCTGAAAACAGTGTTTATTTATGTTTGTTTATCATTTTAAGCAATTATTTTACAATTGGTTAAAGTTTTATAACATATTTTACCTGCAAACTCCTTCTGTCCACCCAAATGTCTTTGTCACCAAGCCTTATTGGAACCTTGATCACAACTGTAAAGTTCAGCTCTATGAACCTGTTACTAATCTAAGAGAAGTGGAAACAAAGTTTTAGAGAATAATTGCATATTAAGGTCTATATTTGAGCTTATTAGATTATTACGTAAGATGGAGTAAGACTACCTTTATTAATTGTTGGAATGGTTTTTGCAAATTGTTTTTTCCAAATGTGAAATTGTTGTAGCTGCGGGGACTGAACAGATGCAATTTTTATGATTATTAGCTCCTATTGTTTAAAATTATCATTGACTTTTAAAAGTCACTTTTTTGTTTAACCAGATGGTAACTGACCTTTCTATTGTAACTGAGATGCTGTGCTTCACTTCAATCTCTTTCTTCTTGTAGAGTTCACTGGATTTGGAGTGCTCCTTATTGTCACTGAAGAGTCAGAGGAAAATATTTATTTAAAGAAATTGAAATTCTGCTCCAAGATCTAGTACATCTAATAGACAAATTGTACCTGGTCGCATTTGCAGTGACAAATATCCTCCTTTCAAGTTGTCTGCTGGGATTGAACCCGTAGGAGACGATAAAAACAGCCTGACAGTAAAACAAACAGGAAGAATTAGTTAACTTCCTATTTTGGCTCAACAGTTTCTGCAGCAGAATAAAAAACTAACCACTGAGTTGGATCTGAAAATAGGTTTCTCGACAGTGCAGTCTGTTTTTCCTCTTGTTACGTCATCTTTACTGTCCAAGGAGCTGCATTTAATTCTTCCCTGTATTAAAAGACCAAACATTAATGAGGCTTTCAGAAGCTCCTGATCAGAGATGACCTGAGACTTGAGGCCTTACACTCAGAGACGTAAACTTCCTGTAGGAGAGCCCAGCAGGATATGTAAGGATGATGTGACTGTTGTAAGAGTTTTCCCCTCTGTTCTCCACTGAGACAGTCACATCCAGGAGCTCATCGATGCCAACGTTAACCACGGAAGATCTGAAAGAAAAAAAATGATGAAAAGAACAAACAGGAAACAAGATTGCAATCATGATAGAAGCATTGTCAGGCAGCAATAAGATTCTGAACACAATAAGAAAATATCTGAAACTTCAAAAAGCTGATAGCTGAATAAATGTTGAAGTATTTTAATAATGTGCTTCATCTTAAGCTCCTTTGCAGCTTCTGGTTGTGATGTGGCAATCCAAATGTATGTGTTGTGAATTTATTTTGCTCTCTCTTATGCTCACCTTTTCAGTTTCAGATAAACACAAAGAACATGCCAGGAGAAGCTTGTATTTAACCAATCAGGCTTTTTTTCTTAAATGATTATTCTGAACTCTGTTGTCAGTAAGTTAATTCTCAAAACTGTCACAAACTTGCTCAGAAGCTCCATGAGCAAGTTTGTGCTCCGATTTTGAGCAGCCCGATTAGCATCAACAATATTAAGATGAGATTCCTGCTCAACCCCTTAAAGAAGCTGTAGTAACAAAAAAATTCAAAGACCCCGAGTTTCCTTCAGCAACAATTTCTCTGAGCAATGTAAACAAAAGCAGGACCACTGTCCTTTGAATATTGTGTTTATTCCCATGTTACCCATTCAAAAGATTGCCTTTACAATACATAACTAAGACATTGCAAACATGTTATTTTTTTCCCTTACTACAGAAGAGAAAAACCAGTTGCTAATCAATTTTTGCATTCAAATGCAATGTTGACACCTTCAAAAAAAAATCACCTTATTTTTTTCCAAGTTTTTCAGAAAACACAAATAACTTAACCAAAAAATGCACCATGTGGCATTTTTTGAGCATCCTGACAAGTACTCAAGTGAAAGAACATCAAACATATGAAATGCCTCATTTGGTCTCACCTGGTAAAATTGAGATCTACTTTTAGGTCATCTGTACATAACTTGTCAGAACCACAGCTGATCTCAAACTTAATCTGTGAAAGAAAACATGCTGTTAATGTAAAATGGTCAATGCAGCATCCACAAAAGGTGTTCAGAAAGGTAGTTGCAAATGTAAAGCTGTGTAAAGAACATGGCAAGCTGTTGATAAACCGTCTTTAAAGGTGACTCACAGGATAAAGGGTTGTTGTTTGAGCTTTCTGAGAGAGACTGGGTTTAAGATTTGTATCAGAAGGTAAACCATCAAAGGTGAAACGGAGCTCATTCTCTAGTGGACTAAAAGCATCTTCAGGACAAGACTGTAGAGAAAGATAATATCATTATTAGGGTATGAGAGGGCAGCACAGTTAATAAAACCAGTGTATTTTTGTCATGTTGGAGCTCTATTCTTCACCTTGATAAAGAACTTTACATTGTTGCACTCTGTCCCATTTGAACCAACAACAATGGATTCAGTTTTGTCTCTTGTACCGGTATCCTTACTGATGTAAGCTCGGTTGTTTGGAGTCTCACGAGTTGCATCCAGAGTTAAAGTGTAATCAATTCGTGCTCGAACTGAAACAGACGTGTTTTGTTCAAAAACAAATATACACACAAAAACTCAAGTAAATTTATTCAAAATGAACCTTTATCTCTTCCAGACAGTCTTCTCAACGTGAAGCAGATTTTAGCTGTGCCTGTTGGTGGTTTTGCACAGTCTACATTTAGAGTTGGGATTTCTTTTGGACTAAATGACACAGTGACATCCACCATCACCACTGGTCTGGATCTAGACAGGGACATGTTTGAGAGAGTCAGATCAACCCCAGTTTGCTCTGTGATTAAAATTCTAACTGAATATTGAACTAAAGACTTGTCAATTTGAAATAATTTTTTTAAATTATTTTGACCGTTGGCTGCTATGAAAAATGACCAGAAGTCACAAATTATAAGTAATGGATACAGTAAAATATTTAGGTATTGTAAATGAATGGGATAAATTTTCCTCAGATTTATTTTTCATTTTGCTCTGTGTTAAATTTTAAATAAACTTTCCTTCCAATTAGCTATTTGATTCTTCTTAAATGTGTCATGTTACACTGAAAGATTTGGAAGGCTGTGAAGGTAGGACTTTTAATGTCCCATTCTTAGTRTGCAACCTGATCCAGCGCCCACACAAATGAATATTTTGGCTTCAATTTTSRGCAGYGGAAATTAAAAGAGGCCCWGTGTCAATGCCTGTGTCTGTCTAAGGCAGTTACAATGTATGGCCAACTTACCTGAGTAAGACAACTGCACCCTTTGAACCCACGGCTAAGTCAGGCAGTGCGTCTCCGCTCTGATCGTAGGACCACTGACTGATTGACAAACCAAAGAACTTCAGTCCTGATTTGACTTCAGAGGCAGCGATTCTCTGTGGATTGGAAAACCTTTTAGTTAAAACTCAAAATAAAAAAGATCAAGATGTCACCTTTGATTGTCTTTGTTTTGAGTTTGCTCACCTGTAAGTAGGTGGGGCTGATTGTTGTATCACTTCGGCTGTGAAATATATAAATGGAGCCTTGGTTGTCGTTCTCCAAAGGAGCTCCGACAGCTAAATCATTAAACCCATCTGCATTTAGATCAGGCAGAGCAGCAAGAGAAGACCCAAACCTCCCTTGGTCTGATGGATCTCCTCGTAGTACTGATAGTTGTGATGGAGAATCAAAGTGACACTCCACATTCTGGTGAAAATGTCAGGATGAGAGAAAATAATTTAGGCTTATAAAAATGTAAAAAGTTAAACTAAGATATTGATGAACTTGTGTGCAGCTGTCTTTTACCAGCCAAGTTAAGGTGCAAACATAAACTCGTCCCTCTCTGTCTTGGTCCTTGTACATGGGAGCAGATATGAGGATCAGATCAGTGTAGCTGTCAGAGTTCACATCCATGGCACAAACTTCTGCCCCAAAATAGCCACCAGTCTGAAACTGTCCAAGCAACAAATGTTTAATGAATTGTACTGACATAACAGATTTTATGGGGAAAAAATAATTTTTGCACTTTAAATCATTCAGATCTACCAACCTTGGTAATAAATACCTACCTGCTTTGGATCAGGCTTAATTATTTTTTGTTGTTTTTCCCTGTGAACAGTGATAACGGCTCCTCTGTGCTCATATCTTGGCGCACCAACAATTGTCAATGTGTCACGATAGGTTTTAGCAACAGCCATGGAATAACCTGAAATTTAATAAGACATCAGAGGGAACATGTTCAAACAATGGATTTATCTCTAAAGAAAACAGAATCTGAAATCAGAGATAAGGACTTTTATTTAAATATTTTTTATGATTGATGCGACCTGTACAAGCTCACGATTGACAAATAGCATAATTTGTTTAGAGCCCTGCTGATACACTGCATCACATTTGAATTATATTTTTATATTCTCACCAAGATAACTGTCAGGTTCTATAGTCATTGGYTCATATGACCCCATGTATTTTCCATCACGTGAGTATCTTTTGTAGCCTCCTCTCCATTGATTAACACCAACAGTGGTCATTTGAATTCCCTATAAAGCAAAGAAAAAGTTTAGAAAATAAAACCTAGTTCATCTCAAATATGGTTGCCTTTAAGTTGGTTAGATCATAATTAATAGTCAGTTGGTTCTCTTGTTTTGTGTTTTCACCTCAGGTACATAAGCTACTCTGAACCCCTCTTGAGACATTTCCCGTGTCAGTGTCTCGCCACCAGTTTGAGATCCTGTGATGTTGAAATATAAAAAATGACAGCTTGAATTTCTCATTTCTTTCAAAGCATTTTAGACATTTCATTTATTGAGTTTAGCTAAATGTACTTTTATTTATAGGTTTATATTTTGACTGAAAATTTGTGTCAATTTGAAGTGTCAGGATGAAATGATAAATTTAACATTAAAACAAGCATTTCAGTCAAACACTGACAGCTGATTTAAGAAATATAACATTTGTGCCTTCAATTGAAAAAATTTTCTCCTGCAAATTCTTCCGTATGCTTTCAAGTGCCTCAAAGTTCCCAACTTGAAACACAAAGTCTTCAGAGGGTTTAGATGCAATTTGTTCCAGCTCCTTTACTGCATCCACGTTTGAAAACACAGAGCCCACCTAAAGAGAGAATATAAGAAAGGTCATATAATCAGCTTCAACAGTTTACACAAACACTATTTATTGTCAGGTAGATATTGGCTTGTATGATGTTCCTTAGATCAGTGGTTCCCAAACTTTTTATCTTCTGACCCACAAAATATCCATGGCAAAAACTTGTGACTCCTCTGATTACTGGTCTGAGTACACAAACTTCATTAATAACCCTAAAAACACAGGCCTTTTGACCATCTAAACAGCTTGTACACAAATATACTTATTTATACTTAT